GAGGCTGAGGCAGGAGAATGGCGTGAACCCGGGAGGTGGAGCTTGCAGTGAGCTGAGATCCGGCCACTTCACTCCAGGCTGGGCGACAGAGCCAGACTCCGTCTCAAAAAAAAAACAAAAAACAAAAAAACAAAAAACAAAAATAAAAAATAAAAATAAAAAAAAAGCTGGGTGCAGTGGCTCACGCCTGTAATCTCAGCACTTTGGGAGGCTGAGGCGAGCGGAACACTTGAGGTCAGGAGTTTGAGACCAACCTGACCAACATGGTGAAACCCGTCTCTGCTAAAAATACAAAAATCAGCCAGGCATGGTGGCACGCATCTGTAATCCCAGCTACTTGGGAGGCTGAGGTAGGAGAATTGCTGGAAACTGGGAGGTGGAGGTTGTGGTGAGCCGAGATCGTGCCACTGCACTCCAGCCTGGGCAACAGAGCGAGACTCCGTCTCAAAAAAAAACAAACAGGTATTTCCTTGACCTTCTACTACCTGTCCCCAAACCACAGTCTGTGCTACTCTTTGAATTCACTACATGGCCCCTACATATGATCTGGTCCCCCAATATCACTGTGAATCTTCTGCTATCTTGTCACTCTCCTCCAGCCACAGTAGTGTCCTTGGAAGTTCCCACAACACACCAGCTGTGCTCCCATCTTAGGGCTTTGCACTTTACTTTGCCTGGAATGCTCTTTCCCCAGTGAACAGCTCACCCCTTCATCCTTTTTAGATCTCTACGTAAATGTCACTTTCTCAGAGAGGACTTCTCTGACCACTCCTTTTTTGTTTTTTGAGGTGGAGTTTTGCCCTTGTTGCCCAGGCTGGAGTGAATGGTATGAACTCAGCTCACCGCAACCTCCGCCTCCAGGGTTCAAGTGATTCTCCTGCCTCAGCCTCCGGAGTAGCTGGGGTTACAGGCATGCACCACCATGCCCAGCTAATTTTGTATTTTTTAGTAGAGACGGGGTTTCTCCATGTTGGTCAGACTGGTCTCGAACTCCTGACCTCAGGTGATCCGCCTGCCTCAGCCTCCCAAAGTGCTGGGATTACAGGCGTGAGCCACCACACTTGGTCTGACCACTCCTTTTAGAAGGAGAAACTTCCCAACTCCACTAGCATTCCCTATCCTCCTTCTTGCTTTTTCTTTGTACTTCTCATATTTAACATACTATGTTGCTTATTTATTTGTTCACTGGCTGCCCTTATTATATGCTCCTAATTTGTTGAATACAAAGATTTTTGTCTGTTTGGTTTACTGCTATCTCCCAGTACCTACAACAGTGTCCAGTACATAGGTGGTATTCTGTGTGTGCTGAGTAAACAAAGAGATTGGTGAGGAGGCCATTCCAGTAGATACATAGCCAGGAACCGTGTGTGAAGAAACATGTGTGACACAGTGAGTGTAAATTTTGTTTGTTTTTCTTTGAGACACATTCTCACCCTGTCGCCAGGCTGGAGTGCAATGGCACAATCTCAACTCACTGCAACCTCTGTCTCCTGGGTTCAAGCAATTCTCTTGTCTCAGCCTCCCGAGTAGCTGGGACTACAGGCACCCACCACCACACTCGGCTAATTTTTTGTATTTTAGTAGAGATGGTGTTTCACCATGTTGGCCAGGATGGTCTCCGTCTCCCGACCTCATGATCCGCCTGCACCAACCTCCCAAAGTGCTGGGATTACAGGTGTGAGCCACCGCGCCTGGCGGTGAGTATGGACTTTATCTTGTCAGTGATAGCAGTGGACTTGATCTGGGGAATGAAACAATCAAATGAAATAGTGTTGAGACAGCCGGGCGCAGTGGCCGGGCGCGGTGGCTCAAGCCTGTAATCCCAGCACTTTGGGAAGTCAAGGCAGGTGGATCACCTGAGGTCTGGAGTTTGAGATCAGCATGACCAACATGGAGAAACGCAGTCTCTACAAAAATACAGAATTATCCAGGCATGGTGGCGCATGCCTGTAATCCCAGCTACTCGGGAGGCTGAGGCAGGAGAATTGCTTGAACCCGGGAGGCGGAGGTTGCGGTGAGCTGAGTTCATACCATTCACTCCAGCCTGGGCAACAAGGGCAAAACTCCGTCTCAAAAAAAAAAAAAAAAGAAAAAAGAAAAGAAAAAGAAAAAGAAATACTGCTGAGGGAAGATGACGCTATGGATGTAATGTTTAGTTCAGGCCAGATACAAGGAGTCTTGATCTAAAGGAGTGGCAGTGAGACCAGGAACGGAAATGAGGGGCTTCTGTCAAGAGACATTTCAGAAGTAGATTTTAGTGGCTGGCACGATGGCTCATGCCTGTAATCCCAGCACTTTGGGAGGCCGAGACGGGTGGATCACAAGGTCAGGAGTTTGAGACCAGCCTGGCCAATATGGTGAACCCCTCTCTACTAAAAATACAAAAATTAGCTGGGCGTGGTGGGAGGCGTCTGTCATCTCAGCTACTCAGTAGGCTGAGGCAGGAGAATTGCTTGAACTAGGGAGGTGGAGGTTGCAGCGAGCCAAGGTCACACCACTGCACTCCAGCCTGGGTGACAGAGTGAAACTCCATCTCAAAAAAACCAAAAAACAAAAAAACCCTGTTGCCTACTGAGAACATCCAAATCCCTGTGCTAAGTCAAAGCCTTTCAAACCATCTGCTGCCTTCTCTCCCGCCCCATCTTTTACTGTTCCAACCAAATTCTCCACTCTGGTCTCACTTTAGTAAAGTTCTCTCAACTTTTCCTTGTTTTACTGTCTTTGCTCACACCGTCCCCTCCATCTATAAAAAAATATTTTTTCTTTTTTTTGAGATGGAGTCTCCCTCTGTTGCCCAGGCTGGAGTACAGTGGTGTGATCTCAGCTCACTGCAACCTCTGCCTCCCAGGTTCAAGCGATCCCCCTGCCTCAGCCACCCGAGGGGCTGGGATTACAGGTGCACACCACCACGCCCAGCTAGTTTTTTGTATTTTTGGTAGAGATGGGGTTTCACCATGTTGGCCCGGATGGTCTCCAACCATGGACCTCAAGTGATCCGCCCGCCTAAGCCTCCCAAAGTGCTGGGATTACAGGTGTGAGTCACTGGGCCTGGCTTTTTAAAATTTTTTTAGACAGAGTCTCACTGTTCCCCAGGCTGGAGTGCAGTGGCATGATCATGGTTCACTACAACCTCGACCTCTCGTGCTCCAGATATCCCCCACCCACCATGCGGCTCAATTTTTTAAAAACATTTTTGTAGAGATAGGGTCTCACTATGTTGCCCAGGCTGGTCTCGAACTCGTGGGTTCAAGCAATCCTCCCGTCTCAGTCTCCCAAAGTGTTGAGATTACACGCACAAGCCACCGCGCCCGGCCTCCATAACATCTTTCCCCAAGGAACTCGTACCCACTCCCTAATCCTCACCTCAGAGGCCCTTGTCTGCTCAATTCTATCCACTTGGAGCATCTGTTACAGCAGGATCATCCTCCTGGTCCCCTGCCCCTCACTTGCCTACGATCCTCAAGGGCATGGCCGGAGACTACAACTCCCCAAAGCCTCCGGGGCCCCGTCTGGCGCTCACCCGTCGCCGGTTTCTCCACAGCTGATTTAAAAGAGGCGTGACCAAAATAAGCAGGACTGGGGGAAACTGGGGGTCGCTTTTACCTCTTCGCCGTAATCCTCTGGACCGAATTCCTTGCAAAGTTTGGGTACAGCAGCGACCTCCAGTGGGCAGCTGGGCCGCAGAGGGCAGTCTACAGGAAAGGAAGGCGAAGCCTCGTCAGCGGGCTTGGGATAGATGGGCTTGAGTCCTCCCTACTCCACCTTCGACTCTCCACCCTCTGCCCTCTGCATAAAATCCTACTCGAAACGTTCAGACCACAGGTGGACCCAAGAGGGGCTGCCTCTGCCCTCCTAGACCCTCTCTGGTCTTGTCATACTGCTCACCTAGCTTGATCCTCTCCACAGCCTTCGGAATCGGCGCCATCGCGTCTACAGTGACCCGGAAGTGAAAGGTAGTCTAGTATTTGATACCAGCCGAAGGGCGGGGTGGGACAGGGAAGGCGGCCATTTTTGTTAGGGGCAGAAGCCTCCCATTACGGAGTACGAGAGGGTCCATGAAGGTCCCCGCGACTCCTGGACTGGAGAAAACGGCTCTTGGAATGGGGCGAAGTCCGAGCTACGGTGGGCGTTGGTCCGTGCGGGAAAGTGGGAATCGCTAGGTTCGTTCCGGACCCGCCGCTCATGGCTCAGGCGTCTCGCTCTGGTAGCCTGCCTCCACTTGTTATCGTGCCCCCGCTGAAGGCGCAACCCGGGGGCACTGGGGAGGAGCAGCGGGAGAGAAGGCCAACGGGCGCTCTTCGCGGGGAGGTTCACGGTTGGCCGGGCGGAACTTCTGGAGGGACGCCGTGGTGGCCGACGCCGGCGGGTGTGAGCGAGGACTATGAGGCTGATGCTGCGGCCTGGAGGCGAGGGCCCGCAGGTGGCGGCCCGATCCCTCCCGCGCTGCAGCGTCTCCGGGCCGTGTTGCTGCGGCTGCATCGCGAGCGGGAGCAGCTCCTCCAGGCCCGAAACTGCGCCTGCCACCTACAGGCGGCTGTGCGCCTCATGAAGACCCTGAGTCCTGGCTCGCCATCCGGCGGCCCTAGCCCCTTGCCCCAGTGGTGCCGCGACCTGCAGCTGCACCCTTCCCAAGGGGCAGTCCTGCGAATCGGCCTTGGGGAGACTCTCGAGCCGTTGCTGCTAGCGCGCCCCATCGGACTAGCCGCCCAGTGCCTGGAGGCTGTCATTGAGATGCAGCTTCGCGCTCTCGGCCGGGAGCCTGCCAGCCCAGGCCTGTCATCCCAACTTGCCGAACTTCTCCTGGCACTTCCCGCCTATCACACGCTACAGGGAAAAACCTTGAGCCACGTCCCGGGGGCTGCACGTCCTTTCCCCACGTCCCGTGTGCTCCGCCTCTTGACGGGGGAGCGGGGTTGCCAGGTGGCAAGTCGGCTGGACGAGGCGCTCCGGGGATCGGGATTGAAAGACCAGCTCCGCAGGCGGTGCCATGAGGAGCGGGATCTGCTACCAGGGCTGCTGGGCCTGGTAGGGGGCGTGGCAGGTTCAGCCAGCTGTGGACTACGGCTTGGAGGGGCTGGAGCCTTGTGGAGCCAATATTGGACCCTGCTGTGGGCAGCCTGTGCTCAGAGTCTGGACCTAAATTTGGGACCCTGGAGGGACCTCAGGGCAACAGCGCAACAGCTGAGTCAGGCACTGGGTCAGGGTGAGTGATGGGCTTGGGTGGGCGTTTGGGAAGGCTGGGGTCTCTTCCACCTGGCAAACTCACTCACCTTCCATCCTGAAGGCAAAGGCAGGCCCTTTAGAATGAACATCCCTGGGTTCAGACTATATCTTCTGAACTTTCAAGGCGAAGTCTTGCTTTCCACCCCAGTCCTGAGTCTTGGAGGAAGCATGCCTTCTTCCCTCATCATTGAGTGGGCAGGGGTTGTGGAAAGTGAGACCTTGTTTTCAGGCTCCAGAGTCATTTCTCCCACTAGCATCCCTGCCTCAGGAGTGTGAGAAGGAGCTGGCTTCTTTGTGTCACAGCTTACTTCATCAGTCGCTTATCTGGAACTGGGACCAAGGTGAGAAGGAAGGGGCCCTGGGGGTGACATAAATCCCAGGTTACCGCTTCCCCACCACACTATAGTCTCTCATCCTCAGGTTTCTGCCAGGCCTTGGGATCAGCTCTTGGGGGTCAGAGCAGCCTTCCCACATCCTCTCGCACTGCTGAACTTTTGCAGCAGCTCTTTCCTCCTCTCTTGGATGCCCTTCGAGAGCCCAGGTTACGACTGATTTTCTGCCAGCCTGCAGGTGAGACAAGGGGCTGGGTCTGGGGAGACAAAGCAGTTGAGGATATCTCTTTTCTTTGTTCTGAAGTCTGCCTCTTCCCAAAGGTACTCCATGACCCCTAAGATACTCACTCTACTGCTCAAATCCCCAGATCCTGCGCCTGTCGCCCTAGGTCTCTGTACCCTGCAGACCACCTTGCTTTGGTTCCTGGGCAGAGCTCAGCAGTACTTGGCAGCATGGGACCCAGCTTCCTTCCTGCTCCTGATCCAAAAGGACTTACCTGTGAGTGGCTGGGGAGTAGGGAGGGGAGCAGCCTGAGCTAGGCTGAGCCCTCACTTCCTGTTTCCACCCAAAGCCTCTATTGCATGAGGCAGAAGCTTTGTCTAGCCTGGCCTCAGAGGAAAGCTTAGCTCTGGAAGTGGAGCAGCAGCTGGGCCTGGAGATCCAGAAGCTGACTGCACAGATCCAGGTGAGAACAGGGGCCTTAACAGTGGCAGTTTAAGACCCTGTGTTCTGTGCCAAGTATCAGGGGTGGGAAGAGTAGAGCATCTCAGTAACTTGGAATCTCCTTGGAGTCTCTGCTAAATTTATCTTTTTTTGCTCTGTTCATTTTTTATTTTTTGTTCTCTTTAACTTTTTTTTTTTTCTCTCTGAGACAGGGTCTCACTTTGTCACCCAGGCTGGAGTGCAGTGGCACAATCTCAGCTCACTGCAGCCTCTACCTTCTGGGCTCAAATGGTCCTCCCACCTCAGCCTCCCTAGTAGCTGAGACTACAGGCTTGTGCCACCACACCTGGCTAACTTTTGTATTTTTTTTTTGGTAGAGATAGGGTTTCACTATGTTGCCCAATCTGGTCTTGGACCCCTGAGCTTAAGTGATCCACCTACCTTGGTCTCCCAAAGCGCTGGGATTACAGGCATGTGCCACCATGCCTGGCCCCTTTAACATTTTACTATGGAAAATTTCAAACATGTACAAATGTAGAGAGAGGTATATAATGGACTCCCATATGTCTATCACCAAGCATTTAACAATTATCAACTCATGGTCAATTTCATCTGTGTATCCCCCATCCTCTCCCCAGTAATGCCAGACTCTCGTTTTGTGATGGCACCAGCGGATCATTGCCTTGATTCATTATTTCATTAGAGGTTGTAAAGGGGTAACATTTCAATTCTCATCATTCCTACTTCATTTATGAGTTGGATTACTCCTATGAAGAAAAACTTGCCTTCATTAATGATTTGGTTACTCTTAGGTATATTTTAAAGAGAAAATTCAGGATACATGATTGCATCTTTCCCTTTACTTACCAGTTATCGGCACATTTCTCCTCTCTTAAAAGTTTAATTTGTATTTTTATTAATGCTTTGGGAGGCCAAGGCAAGAGGATTGCTTGAGGCCAGGAGTTTGAGACCACCAGGGGCAACATAGCGAGACCACCCTAAGCAACACAGACCCCCGTCTCCACAAAAATTAAAAAATTTAGCTGAGCATGGTGGCTGCGCCTGTAGTCCCAGCTACTTGGGAGGCTGAGGCAAGAGGATCGTTTGAGCCCAGGAGGCCGAGGTTGCAGTAAGCTGTGATAGCCACTGCATTTCAGCCAGCCTAGGCAATACAGTGAGAGATCCTGTCTCAAAAAATAAAATAATGCATGTCTGTAGTTTAAAAAGTGAAATAGAATATTATTTTATAAAACTAATGAAAAAATAGCACTTTGTTTGCCCTCACCCACCTCTGATTTCTGTTTCACAGTAGTAAC